GGTTTATATGTAATACTTGGATGTGAGCCATAAAAGTTGTAGCTTACATTTGGTATTTTAGATGGCTAACATATTTAGTCCTGACTTTGTTTAATTGCTGTTAACAAAGTGTATGGTGCCTGAGCTGAGCAATTTCAAATAACAGCCAATTAAAGTATAGTTATCCTCAGAGCTGGTGAGGATAAAAGTAAACCAAACATCACTGAAAACTCAACTAAAATAAGATGCAGGATATCAAGATAGTTAATGCAACAAAATATATAAAACTAAAAATCATAGACTGGGTTAGGTATACTGTTGCAAAAGCAGAATATGTTGTATTTGGCATAATCTGTGTGACCGTGTTACCTGTACTGAGGCAGTGTGTTACATATTACCAGAGGATACACATGATATGTTACGGCTGAGACTGCAAGTATTCAGTTTAATAATGTTCAGGTATAAAAGGTAAAAGCAATATGCTCCAAAAATAGGTCAGTTAATATTTAGCAAAGGTTTATTCCTAGCAATGTATGCATCAGCTGGTCCTTGAATAAAGGCCTTGGTAGTGAGATTGAGCCTTCATTTGTACAATACGCGAGTCCAATTCAGGACATTATTATTCTCTATGCTGTGGCGTTGTATCTATACTGGTAGAAGTATTAGAACATGGACAGCCTCGGGTACTTTGTCAGTCTATTAACTGGTGCACAATTGGAAACATTTCATGGGAACGTTTAGAAGTCTGGATGGCATGCACACATCAGGATTAAGTTGGGAATGTATTCTCTATGGAATCAGCAGGAGTGGTATTAATATGTAATCTGAAGACAGCAGCACGTTCAACTATTTATTGCTTGATGCTGGTACACATTACCCATGCACTATTTATTCGCTTACTCTGTGGTTTCTTAAAAGGGCACTCTAAGCGATTATAGTGCTGGTAGTCCCCTGATGCCCTCCCACTGTTAAGATTCAACATGTTTTCAAATAGTTAGACACCCTAACAATGGGACCCCCAGGCACCCTCGATGCAGTCACACTTCTCATTAATTCCATTTGTTTGGATGGAATTCATTGGCTGATCGTGTCAATAAATTCCATATAAATGTGGAAGAAATTGATATTGGTAAAGCTGAAGGGGCATTTACACTTTAGATAGATCTCTGCAGTGTGGCTGGACCACAGTTTCACAAGGGACCCATGTAGGGGTCAAAGTAAAAAAATAAAAATACACAATAGTATTGTGGTTTTGCGTTGTCATTTAAAAAAACCAAAGTACTAATGAGGGAGAATATTGTATGGTGAAAAGCTCCATGAGTGCAGTCAATGGAGCGGTATTGTATTGTAATATACCAAGCATCTAAAATACTAAATAATTTGAAGTAACATACAACTGTGTTGTCTTTTATAAATGTGAGCCAGATTTGACTGTAACGCCAGTTACAGGACATCCCTAGATCATCTAGAATGCTCCAAAAATAAAGCTGAATTATTTTTACACTATACATCGCTATTCTATTTGATGAAAACACTTGCTTCTCCACGTGATCTTGTAAAATGTATAGGTATATGTCTTTAGTTGTATAACCTACAAATGTGACAGCTGTAGTAATTTACCATATACGGACCTGTCTTATGTGCTCCCCTTCCTTTTTTCTTTTCTGTACCCTGTGAATAATTTAATAAAATATACTTTGAAAGCATTTAGTTTATAACTGAAGTTGAAAAGTTATTAATCTAAAATAGTGTTACATAATATTATACATCATAGAATAAGTCTAAAGATACACCCAATAGAAAACAGAAAACAAGTCTAACACATTTGTAATGAACAAACTTTTCAATTTATGGTCTAAGAAAAAAAGGGAACCCATTTTGAAATGATTTGTGAGGGTAGATGTTGGTCTCAACATGACCTAATGGATCAGGACTACTGTTTCACCTGTTAATAATGGAACGGTTTTAGGAACCCAGCAAAAGTGATTTTTTTTTTTTCAGCTAAAGATAGGTTATGGTATGGAATGTGTTTCAGGAAGTATGTAGGCAGGGTATGTGAGTCCATATTCTGTGTTTCCCACAACCCCCTCCCTTCTCTTTGTACATCTTTCACCCCTAGCTATACAGACAAAACGAAACATGCACAAAGACGCAAACATGCAAGCACATAGTAACAAAGATATAGACAGTCAAAAAAAAGCACGCCATCTACACATATAGGAACACTGTCATACAGATACACAGAGACAATTACATACTTAACCCTAAGCATGCTGTTTGACTCCATGGAGTCACAATTCTACAGCCCAACCCCATTACCAAGCCGCCATCACACCATATGTGCTACGTGGTACACATGGAGCAGTTGTACAACATGTTCATATCCCCGCTCAGCTATAGGAGGGCCAATATCAGTTGGTGCACGTTCTTGCGTCTGGACCGAAGCTTCAGACCGAGCAGCAGTCCTCTTAGTCTCCCAACTCTCAGCGCACATTTCAAGGTGCACTATTGCAGTCCCTGTCTTGGATGCTTCTTGGTACACAGAGTACAATGCAGAAAGTAGTTACATAGGCTGAAAAGAGACGTGTCAGACTTACTCACATCTGTTTTTTGCTGTTGATCCAAAATAATGCAAAAAAAACAGTTTGAAGCACTTCCAATTTTGCAACATACTGAAAAAATTCCTTCTTGAACCCAGTCAGATTTATCCTTGAATCAAGAACCTATTACTCTACAATTGAAAAATGATATGCTTGAATATTATATTTTTGCAAGTATGCATCTAGTTGCTTAAACATCTGTACAGACTCTGATAAAATCACACAAAAATTGCACAGAATATTCAAGATGTGGTCTTACCAGTAATTTATAAAAGAGTCAAAATTATATTCTCATCCCGAGAATTTATGCCCTTTTTTATACATGACATAGAAACATAGAATGTGACGGCAGATAAGAACCATTCGGCCCATCTAGTCTGCCCAATTTTCTAAAATGACAATACCTTACTGGACTCAGTCACTGCTGATTGACATTGCACATTGTTGCCTAGTTTGTAATCTATAACAATTCCCAAATCCTTCTCATGTGCTGTTATCCCTAGTTCACTACCATTTAGGATGTAAGTTGCTTATGCATTCTATATTCCAAAGTGCATAACTTTGCATTTTTCTACATTAAATTCCATCTAAATTCCTTTCCAGCAAATTAATAACTTGCTCGCATTGTATTACTTTATTATTATTGACATTTATATAACGCCAACAGATTCCATAGCACTTTACAATATTTATATATATTATAAAAGGAGATTTAACAATAAATAAGACAATTACAAAAAAACTTACAGGAATCATAGGTTGAAGAGGACCCTGCTCAAACAAGCTTACAGTCCATAGAAGGTGGGGTATAAAACATGATAGGACAGGAGATAGCAATCAAAAAAGGTGATTGGAAAAAAAAAGAGTGAAGCAGAGCTGGAGGAGTGAGTACTGTCCTTCAGGAGAGAGCAAGGGACAGGTATGTGAGGTAGACGTTACTCTGGGAGGCCATAAGCTTTCCTGAAGAAATTGATTTTAAGGCACTCCTTAAATGATTGAAGACTAGGGGAGAGTCTGATCGTGGTAGGCAGGCTATTCCATAGGAAGGGAGCCGCCCGCAAGAAGTCCTGCAAGCGTGAGTTGGCCGTACGTGTGCAAGCAGCGGACAGGAGACGGTCATGGGCAGAGCGGAGAGGCTGAGAAGGGGCATAGCCATGGATCAGTGAAGAGATGTAGGAGGGGCTAGAATTGTTCAATCCTTTATAGGTATGGGTTAGTACTTTGAATTGACTCCCATAGGATACAGGAAGCTAATGTAAGGACTGGCAGAGGTGTAAGTTGTGAGAAAACCGACTGGAAAGAAAAATCAGTCTGGCGCAGGACTCATTACAGATTGTAGAGGGTCAATACGGCTTTTGGGAAGACCAATTAGGAGAGGCTACAATAATCCATGGGAGAGATAACTAGAGCATGGACAAGGTCCTTAATAGCATCTTGTGTATGAAAGGGGCAGATGCAGGCTATGTTTTTAAGGTGGAATCTACATGGTTTGGTAACAGACTGGATGTGTGGCTCAAAGGTGAGGCCAGAATCAAGTATAATGCCAAGACAGCGTGCATGCAAGGATGTGCTACCACTAACTTAACCCCTTAAGGACCAAACTTCTGGAATAAAAGGGAATAATGACATGTCACACATGTCGTGTCCTTAAGGGGTTTAAAGGAAGAGTGAAAGAGGAGGATCAGTATTAGGAGGAGGAAAGACAAGGAGCTCAGTTTTAGAGAGATTGTGTTTCAGAAATTGAGAGGACATCCACTCAGAGATGGAAGAAAGGCAAACAGTGACACGTTGCAGGATGGCAGGGGAGGAGAGATATATCTGGGTGTCACAGGTGGTAGTGGAATCCAAATGAGGTAATACTTTTTCCAAGAGAGGTAGTATTAAGAGAAAATAGATGGGGACCAAAGAAAGAGCCTTGTGGGACTCCAACCGAGACAGGACGAAAGGAGGAGGGATCATTAGAAAAGGAGACACTGAATGAGCCTTGAGAGATAGGAGGAAAACTGAGTTTTGTGTCATCTGCAAACACTGGAAGATGGCTTTCAAATTAGTTATCTATTTTTTTTTGCCTTTTATTTTATTTTTGGTGACATGCACAGCATTTAGGCATGGTATAAATCTGCTGTGCATTATTCAGTGTGTCTGACATGAGGTGTAAAAACATATAGCAACTATAATAAGAATACTATCATAAGCCGTGGTACCCTATTCAATAAATAGCAAGTGAACTGGCTTGCAATGTGCATCTAATTCAGTATTTCGAAATTTTTTCCATATCTTGCTAGATCATAAATATTGTGTTTCGCAATCTTAAGATAATTTGGCATAATATATATTACCCCTTTTAGGCAATGTAGAACACACTCACAGCTTTTTCTCAGTTACAATTATCTACCAACAAAATCATGAAATAAAACAGTCTTTTATATATATATGTCATCATTTTAATTCATAAAATGAAAATACAAAAGTGCAAAATGTTAAAACAATATAGATAGTTTACCCCTTAAGGACCACTGCTTTTTTGAGATGCGGTTCATTGTTACCAAATGTTTTTTCGCATTCTTGTGGTGTTGATTCTACCACCATTTAACCTTTTCTTTTTAATTGCAGCCATATACCTTATATATAACACACACACATATGTATATTTTTTTTTCCTCGCCCCTACCCGAGTTATTTCTTGTATTCGTCAATCTTGGGTCCTCTACCAGAGGACTGGGAGTCTGAGGGTTCAGAGCAGTATTAAGCTGTTCCTAAAACTGCACTCTTGTGGACAGCGATCTTAGATGTACCAATTGGAATCTGCTGGAGCCACTACCTTGTGGGGTCAGCTCTGAATGCTCCTATCACAACTGCCTTCACTTTCCACATCCTGTCTAGTTCTTCTTTCAGCCCTTGGTATTTGTCCACCTTCTCATGTTCCTTCTTCCTGATGTTTTAGTCACTAGTTATTGCCACATCCACCACCACTGCAGTCTTCTGTTTCTTGTCTACCACCACAATGTCAGGTTTATTGGCCACTACTTGATTGTCTGTTTAGATCTGAAAATCCCACAGGATCTTAGACCTGTCATCCTCAACTACCCTTTGTGGTATCTCCCATCTAGACGTAGGCAGGTCCAGCCCATATTCTGTGCAGATGTTTCGGTACACAATCCCAGCAACTTGGTTGTGCCTCTCAGTGTATGGTGTTTGTGCTAACACCTTGCAACCATGAGGATCCTTTGCACAGTTTGCACCTTGGGTCTTGCCTCGTGTGGTATTGATCTGGTGCTGAGTGCCTGATCCTGAACTGCTAATATTAGTGCTTCAGTGCCTTGAAGTGGTCATGGTGCCTGGAGTCTGTATGTGCAGCTATGCTCATACAGAGTTTAACTTCTCTGTTGCATGAGGTGGAACTTAACATCTGACTGCACCATGGGGATATTGTTAACAAGCCTAGAACTAGGAGTTCCGGGCTGGCTTATGTTAATTCTGTGCAAATTTCATTGTGGGCATTATTTATTATAAACCTGCAAAATACGTTTTTCGCTTACCTGGAATCTAACTCCCGGCAAAGCTACCCTCAATGGATTCCGTCTCCCGGTCTAATCAAATGCCTCTCATGGAGAATTGAACAGAAGTCATATGTGCCGGGGATGAAACTAGTGCAGTGTTTTAAGCTAAAATGCTGGACATACAGACTCCTACCGCCATAACCACTTCTAAAAGCAGAAGTGGTCATGGTAGTTGGAGTAATCTTTGACAATTTAAAAGTGCAGTTAGACATTTTCACACTGTTGTAGATTACAGAATGTACCATTAAGGTTGATAAACAATGTGATATTAAGGTACAAATAAAAAAATAAATCATGGGAGCATAATGGAAATATTGAAACAAACATTACCATGTCAGCAGATGTCTTTTTAAAATTTATCCTGAAAGGCATTTGGGGTCTTTGATTTTTGCAATTAGTATAATGCACATAATTCATTTTACACCTGTTTGCATGAAAATCTAGACAAGTGGTCCATATATAATAAAGATCTCAATTTAAAACTAAATCCCAAAACCTTTTAAAAAGAATCTCAACCAACTGGTTAACACTAACATTTACATTCAAATTTATTATGAAAAAATTATAATAATAATAATGAAAAAAAAAACTGAAAAATGTTCACAGCTTTGGCTATACTGATGTGTATACAATTCGTAACGTAAAGTGCTTTAAATGAAATTACCTGAAATGTCCCCATTTATTGGTAAACAAAGTAGATCTCTATGTCCCAAATAGATCTATAGTCCAGTAGCCCTAGCCCAAGTTATTGCTATCAGGGGACTGCCCAGCTGAGGATAATTATTTAGTGTGCAAAGTGCAGAGCTCTTTGTGAGCGATACAATAGATTCTCTTCATAGCAGCAAGAATGCAGCCCCTGGTAGTGCAAACGCAATAAGATGGAATTATCTTGTCATAGGACTTTTGGACTTGGAGACCATGTCTACAATGTGTGTTATTTGTGGATGGTGCCTTAGCCTGAAGCTGCTGGCCTACAACACGCATAGACTTCTCGAACGATCACTACTAATAGAAGACTTCAATAGTTATGGTTCTAAGAGTCCCTTTTCAATGGCTGGTTTTGGAAACACTGAAATAGAATTTGTTTACAGTACAGTAGTAAAAAAAAAGCATACGACAGATGAAATGCAATTACAAAAACAGAGAACTAGATACATGGATTGATGTATAGTTCATTAAAAAAAATGGAAGCTTGGTGCAAATAGTATTTCCAGTATCAGGCTTCAAAGGTCACAAAGTGTTTGACAGATAAAATGACTGTTTAGAGCCACCGCTATGCATTCTCTTTAAACAGCAAACTGTTCTGTACATTCCATGGAGAAACACGAGCACTCCAAGTGACATGCCTTTTCACAGACATTGTAAGGCTAACTCCTGTTATTCTGGATTCAGAATCAATGTGTTTACCAGACAAGTAATTGATCCATGTCAGGGATATCAAACCTGAGCCATTCAAGCAGTAATACAAGGAAATAGCAAGAATGCAAATTACTGTTTGCCAATATGATAACAGTAGTCCTACTTGTATGGATGCACAGAAAACATTGATCGAAGGAGCCACCAAGACAGCTTGAGAATGACAGGAATGGTATAGGTCAATGCCATCAGATCAAGCATACAAACAATAGATAGGAGTGTAACCAATGTGAAATCATAGATGACACTGCTCTGATTGTAAATTGTAGATCAAGTAAAAACTCAAGTGGTTCCTTGTGAAAATTCTTGCAAACAATAGTGGTACTCTGGATTCTAATCCTGTCGAACACTAGTGGACTTGTAGAATTTGATTTCTCTTGTCAGTCTTGCGATTGGAGTCCTGACACTGTAAGATGGACTGGTATGCATCCTGATACAAGCCAGTTATATCACCAAAGTTGATCAACATATGTTATAGCAGCAGGCATTCCAATTTCTCCATGATCACTATGCTAAAAATGAAAGAAAATAAAAACATAATTGAGCAAAATAAGTATGTCAGTCTGCATATTATTAAATTAACCATTTAATAAGTATAGCACATTTTGGGAAATATAATTGATAACAAATAGCTGATGGCTAATCCTATAAACAGGAAACTTTTTACATCGATGGATGCTAAAGCTACTGCAGCGTTCAAAATATATTTGCCCAGTGGTTGTAGAGCTGCAACTTCCACTTTGCTAAGTGAGGATCTAAAGGGACTACACTCAGCCAAAAGTCATAATTGGTGCACACAGTTAAGTAGATGACAAGCTCCCCAGTATTATTTCCAAATTTCAAATAGAGCCTGGGCACACAACGACTTCCATTCAGCAGATTTATCAGATCAAGTGGATATAAGACAATGTTTCGGTCTCAATATGAGACTTTTGTCAAGACTTGACAAAAATCTCATAATGAGACAGAAACGTTATCGTCTCTCCTGTTGATCCAATAAAGCTGCTGAATTGATGTAATTGTGTGCTCATGCTACTTTTTAAATATTGAAGTATTGAGCCACATAATCCACATAATCAATTATGTGAAATACTGTAATATAACATCTAAAAAAAAGAATGTAGCTGAATTTCAAATGATACATTGCAGGTTTATCTTTGTTTAGCCCCTACTCTGGAATCCTCTGTTCAGTCATGTCAACCAACAAGGAATAATGTGGAATGCTACTTCTGTGAGGGATGTTTCAAGGATTCTCCGGTGGGTGGAATTCCAGAATGTGTATAAGCCGTTGATTCACATTTATGGTATAGACAATTGGGAGGTGGACAACCTCAGTCACCAGGCTTTTTAACTGGGAGAGTGGAATGTCCATCTTGATATCTTCTCCCAGCAAGTTCCGCCCTGGGGATTCCCTGAGACAGACCCAATAGTCTTTTGAGTGTTTAAATCACAGGGCAGGAACCTTGGTGCAGCCCAGCGAGATGCACTGATGGTGTTCTGGTACCTACGCTAATTGTGCTTGCACTTGACGATCACTTTGTTTTCTTTGGGTGGTGGCAAGGACTTATTAGGATGCAACCCTGTTGCATTTGTTTACTCCTGTATGGCTGTGCAGGACCTGGATTTAAACTCTGGTAGAAATGTATGCTGTTCCAAGGAGCCTTTTACCATCTAGACCTCCATACTCTGTTTTTGGTGGCATAGAAAGTAATGTATGATCTTAAATTCCAGAGGTACTTTTGGATAAGGTCATTGAGACCTTGATTTAGTATCACAAGCCTGCTACTAGCTGCATTTATGACAAGATGTGGCATACATACCTGACATGGTGTTCTCCCCATGAGTACCGATGGAAGTCTTTTAAACTTCATCAGATTTTGGAATCCTTTCAGGATGGGTTGTATGAGGATTTGGCGTTTATTGTTTTTGGAAAAGTTTTAACCATGGTTTGGGTGATATTTGATTCACTTTTTTTTTTGTGGTGGGTCTATTTAGGTAGGAGGACTCAGGGCTCTCTGTGTAAACATCTACTACAGGGTTATTTACTACAGTAAGAATTCAAAGTTAATTTAAAAGTTAATTTAAAACAAAAATGAATGCCAAATGGTTCTACAAGGGGTCTACAAGGAAAGGTTGCTTAGCACTGGGTGCTTAGTCTCTTTTGTGAATTACTGCTGGAGAAGCAAGGAGATATCGATATGGTAATTAGGTGTTAATTGTTAGAGTAGAAAAAATGATAAACAATTTGCTTCAGTATAACTGCTCTGCAGGCATTCCAAGTTTTTATGTTTATGCAATGAAGTAAACTCTTACTTGTTAAGTGTTTCAATTTGTTCAAGATTTTGGCATTTTTCTTGCATGATTCATCAAATAATTCTGAAACATAACTTATTTGGAGGAGGTCAAGGACCCGCTTGATTTCATTGATCGTTTGTTCTTTATTTAGGTTCTTGATTTTTTTCATCCATTCCTTCATCATGTTGTATTTTGCCTCTTTTGGGTTTGTTTTGCGCATCTCACTGAAAGAGTCTATCTGTTCATCGCTGAGATGTTGAAAGAGATTTCTCATGAAGTGGTTCCATTCTTCATCAGGAATGTGTATGATCAGGTGATAAATATCATTATTGTGCAAGCCTAAAGGAAAACAATAAAGCCAGCATATTCACATAGTAGTTCAGTTAAAGTGTGAATTGTCTTGAAAACAAAGAGAATTTAAACAGGATTATTCACTAAAGTGAGAAGTTTAAAGTAAATTCAAATTGAATTTCAAATTTAAGGACAAAATATCCAAACTCAAAACAGTTGACTTGGAGAAAATGTCCAATTTACATATTTTGGCCTAAATTTCTGAATTCTGGCCTAAATTCACTTTGACTTCCTGGCAATTTTTCAATTTAGAGAATGACCAAAATAACTGAACTTGAATTCTCTAACTCTTATGTTTTCGGTTAAACTATTCTGACTATTTTAACTTTGCATTCCAGAAAATTCACACTTTATTAATCATGTGTGTATCTACAAACTGTATAAAGATAACGTAATAAGGAAACACTGCATGTAACGGAGCCTGGGCAGCGTACTCAAGGAGTCCCCCAAATCCCAAGGCATTCATATGGTCAAAAATGGAGTCACAACATCAGATCATTTTCAAATCACGATCTTTAATCCACAAAATGTGGACCGGGCAACATTTAGACCCAACACAGGTGGTTTTTGTTAGGTTTGACAGTGTTGGGTCAAAATGTTGCTTGGTCCACATTTGGTGGATTACATTTCTAGTTTCAAAACTATATTGCGTTACAAATCCATTATTGACTATTTCACAAACTGCATATAGACAGATATGATATATTCAGATTTGAAAAAGAAACACTTTAGAGATTAGTCAGTTAACACTGAATTGGGGGGGAAATGAAAACCAAATAGCAAAACTCATGCTAAAATAGCTAAGCTGTGATTATAGCTGAGATTCAGAGGTTTTCTCCCCCCAATCAGACTACCTACATTTTACAATGGCATTTTCATTTTACTACAGTTTGGTGAATGATTCCCTTTATTTTGATACATAACAAATAGATGATTATAGCGATTTTACTCATTAATGAAACAGAAAGTGAGTTTTTTTTATTTTTTATTTTTTTTAAAGTTGCATTTTCATTCAGCAATAGGTTTTTCTTAGTGTAGTTTCTTAAAAGTGATTCTAAGTTAAAAAAAAATATTTACAAGAAAAATGATTTACTAAATGTATAGCGTTAAGTTCTCTGGAACGCTTAAGAACAACATGTAAGAACTGTAAACTAAACAAATGAACAACTAAAAAGGATAATACTTACAAAAGTAAATCTGGGAATTTCTACAACCTGTAATACATACAAATGTAAATTAAATTTGTCATTACAAAAACAAGTTAAAAATAGAGAAAAATACACCCATGCACATTACTTCCTACATTGGAAAATATGAATACCTAACTATCAGGGCCTGTGCAAGGATTTTGACTACAGAAGTGAAGTTGTGAAGTAAAATAATACAATGTGAGCAAGGTATTAAATTGCTGCAGAGGTATTTAGATAGACTGGTGGACTGGGCACTCAAATGGCAGATTGAATTTAATGTTGAGAAATGTAAAGTTATGCACGTCAGCGTAAAGAATGCACAAGCAACGTAAATCCTTAATGGAAGCAAATTAGGGAGTACAACACTCGAAAAGGACTTTGGAATTGTTATAGACAACAAACTATGCAACAATGTGCAATGTCAATCAGCAGTGACTAAGGCCAGTAAGGTATTGTCATGCATGAAAAAGGGCATTCATTCTCGTTATGAGAATATAATTTTGCCTCTTTATAAATCACTGGTAAGACCACATATTGAATATGCTGTGCAATTTTGGGCACCTGTTCTAAAGAAGGATATTATGGTACTAGAAAAAGTGCAGAGGCGGGCTACAAAATTAATAAAAGGAATGGAGCATATCAGCTATGAAGAAAGGTTAACAAATTTAAACCTATTTAGTTTAGAAAAACGTCGCCCGAGAGGGGATATGATAACATTATACAAATATATTCGGGGCCAATACAAACCATTGTTTGGAAATCTATTCACAAACCGGACTTTACATAGGACACGAGGCCACGCGTTTAGACTGGAAGAAAGAAGATTTTGTCTAAGGCAAAGGAAAGGGTTTTTTTTTACTGTAAGAACAATAAGGATGTGGAATTATCTGCCTGAAGAAGTGGTTTTTATCAGAGTCCATACAGATGTTTAAACAGCAACTAGATGCATACTTGCAAAAATAGAATATTCAAGGATATAATCTTTCAATGTAGGGTAATAGCTTCTTGATCCAAGGAATAATCTGACTGCCATTCTGGGGTCAAGAAGGATTTTTTTTCTTAGTTTGTTGCAAAATTGGAAGTGCTTCAAACTGTTTATTTTTGCCTTCTTATGGATCAACAGCAAAAAACATATTTGAGAAAGGCTGAACTTGATGGACTCTTTTCAGCTATATAACTATGTAACTATGTAACATTCCTCTCTCTCCTAGCCTAGCCTTAAATAGTCCCTTCCAGTTCATCTACATTTCTGTAGTGTGGCTGAATTGTTCTGATCTCAAAAAGCAGCCTTTTGCTGTCCATAAAGAAGCCTTTGGGGTACCTCAGGGATCTGTACTTGGACCCATTCTCTTTAATATTTTTATTAATGATATTGCAGAAGGTCTTGATGGTAAGGTATGTCTTTTTGCTGATGATACTAAGATATGTAACAGGGTTAATGTTCCAGGAGGGATAAGCCAAATGGCAAATGATTTAGGTAAACTAGAAAAATGGTCAGAATTGTGGCAACTGACATTTAATGTGGATAAGTGCAAGATAATGCATCTTGGACGTAAAATCCCAAGGGCAGAGTACAGAATATTTGATAGAGTCCTAACCTCAACATCTGAGGAAAGGGATTTATGGGGTGATTATTTCTGATGGTAGGCAGACAATGTAATAGAGCAGCAGGAAATGCTAGCAGAATGCTTGGTTGTATAGGGAGAGGTATTAGCAGTAGAAAGAGGGAAGTGCTCATGCCATTGTACAGAACACTGGTGAGACCTCACTTGGAGTATTGTGCGCAGTACTGGAGACCGTATCTTCAGAAGGATATTAATACTTTAGAAAAAGTTCCGAGAAGGGCTACTAAACTGGTTCATGGATTGCAGGATAAAACTTACAAGGAAAGGTTAAAGAATCTTAACATGTATAGCTTGGAGGAAAGACGAGACAGGGGGGATATGATAGAAACATTTAAATACATAAAGGGAATCAACACAGTAAAGGAGGAGACTGTATTTAATAGAAGAAAAACTACCACAACAAGAGGACATAGTCTTAAATTAGAGGGACAAAGGTTTAAAAATAATATCAGGAAGTATTACTTTACTGAGAGGGTAGTGGATGAATGGAATAGCCTTCCAGCTGAAGTGGTAGAGGTTAACACAGTAAAGGAGTTTAAGCATGTGTGGGATAGGCATAAGGCTATCCTAACTATAAGTTAAGGCCAGGGACTAATGAAAGTATTTAGAAAATTGGGCAGACTAGATGGGCCAAATGGTTCTTATCTGCCATCACTTTCTCTGTTTCTATGTTAAATGACCCCAAGCTAGGGCGGCCCACCAGGAAATCTTGAGGGAAGTTTGGGGAAGAGTCTTGGCTGGCATATTCTGTCACCCTTACATCACCGCCTAGTCCATCTGCCCAAAAAGCGTGTGTGTATACATGCTAAACTGACTCTAAGCTGCACTAGCCAACTCCACACAGGGTAGCCCATTCCCACTGAATAGCTCTTGAATGGATTAAATGCCCCGAGTGTAGTTGATTCTGAGCCCATCTTTTGATGCAAAAATGTCATGCTGCTTGGTCACGTCTGTTGACCCTAGAGACCAAAAAGTCGATGCTTGGACAAAAAATGCAGGACATGTCTTTTATAGCTCCTACAAATGTCAGCTGAGAAATCAGCTGAATTTTTTTTTTTTAAACAGAATTAGTATTTTAAAAAAAAAGAAAAAGGGGGGTATAGAAGGGATAAAAAGTGGGAATAGTGGTGAATGGCTACAGTGTGTTATCTAAATATTATTTTTGTCCACTAACTCTTTCACTCTGCCCTTGTTCCGTCATTCTGTCACCTGATTCCATGACAGATCTTTAACCTTCTTTTCCCCTTCTAGTTCCTACCAGTTTTGTTTCAGTGTACGCTGTCTATTCTTTTCATATCTGCACAATTCACTCACTCTGCCAGTAAACATTTCACATCTTGTATCAGAAGGACATCTGTTTGCAATAATAATTATTTTCAGACAGATAAAATAAAAAAATCTAAATACATTATAATTTGCATCCTCTTGAGGTCAAGTCCAGTTTCAGTTAGCAACAGGATATCTATTACTACTTATGGAAAATTGTCAATAATTACCATGAATTACATGGTTCAAGTCTCTTAATTTGTTCTGAAACTCTGTCAAAACTTTGATGATATCCTCATTTCTTTTTACTTCAAGTTTCTGATCGCTACCTGCAGAAAGAAAATTAACAGAATAATCAAGATTCCCTGGTGAAACACAGGCCTTATGTACATATAGTCAATTCAGGCTTAACATATTTAAAATTGTATTTTGCTATCCACTAAAATGTTTTTCAAAATAAAATACAAATTAGAGTTAACAGTATGCTATCTTTGTTAATCTATAGGATGTTAGTAGAAACATAGAATGTGACGGCAGATAAGGGCCATTTGGCCCATCTAGTCTGCCCAATTTTCTAAATACTCTCATTAGTTCCTGGCATTATCTTATAGCCTTATGCCTATCCCACGCATACTTAACCGCTTAGTGACCAGACCACTTTTCAAGTTTCTTACTGTTTGGGACCAATGTTTCTACATTTCTGCGGTGTTTGTTTTTATTTTGTGTAATTTTCACACATATTATATACTGTTTTTCTTGCCATTAAATGGTCTTTCTAAAGATACCATTATTTTCATCATGTCATATAATTTACTATAAAAGAATTATAAAATATGATGACATTTTTTTTTAAAAACACACTGTTTCTAAATGTGACCCCCAAAATCTGTTACGCATCCACAACTGCCAAACAATATCCATGCTAAATAGTTTCTAAATTTTGTCCTGAGTTTAGAAATACACAATGTTAACATGTACTTAGCTTTTTTGGGGAAAGTTATAGGGTTATAAGTACAAGTAGCACTTTGCTATTTCCAAACCATTATTTTTACAAACAAATAATGTTACATTGTAACACTGATATCTGTCAGGAATCCCTGAATAACCCTTCACATGTATATATTTTTTAAAAGAAGACAACCTAAGCTATTAAACTTGGGGTATTTTGACTCTTTTCATGCAACCATTTTACCACCAATCTATGCCAAATAAAAAATAATAATAATAATAATTGGTGATTTTATTTGACACACATAGCAATTTAAGAATACATGTACTGAGAACTTTAAGGGTTACTGTCAAAGAACACCCAAATATGTATTCAGCAACATCTCCTGAGTACAGTGATACCAACCATGTATAGGTGTGTCATTTTCTCTGGGGCCTGAAATACCTTATTAGGAGAGTGCGCATTCCATTTTTTCAACTTGGCATTTTCACAGCTGATGCATGATGCACCCATGTGCTATTTGGGACATTTTTTAAGCTGGTCAGTGTAATTTAACCCCATCAAACCATATATTTTTGAAAAGTAAACAACTCAGGGTATTCAATATGGGGTATGTCTAGTTTTAGTAGCCACTCAGTCACAAACACTGGCCAAAGTTAGCATTTATATTTGTTTGTGTGTTTGTTTAAATTCAAAAAACTATTATGAACGCTAACTTTGACCAGTGGCTACTAAAAAAGACTGAACTTACCCCATTTGCAATACCTTGGGTTGTTTTCTTTTGCAAATGGTATACCACCATGGGGGTAATTCTCATTCCTGGGCTACCATACGCTCTCAAAGGCAACTTAACCTATCTGGCAAATTTCAATGTGAAAAAAATGGAAACTCAAACCTTATATTTGACCCTGTAACTTTCAAAAACACTATAAAATCTGTACATGAGGGGTACTGTTATACTCGGGATACTTCGCTGAACACAAATATTAGTGTTTCAAAACAGTAAAATGTATTACAACAATATCATCAGTGAAAGTGCCGTTTATGTGTAAAAAATGCAAAAAACGTCACTTTCACTGATATCATAGCTATGATATGTTTTACTGTTTTGAAACACTAATATTTGTGTTCAGCAAAGTCTCCCAAGTAAAACAGTACCTCCATGTCCAGGTTTTAGGGTGTCTTATAAAGTTACAGGGTTAAATATAGTGCTAGCAAAATAAATTCTCTTGACGTTCTGTCTGTAAAAATATTACATAAATATGCATGTAGAATTTAAATATATATATTTATATATTTGAAGTCTACATGTATATTTATGAAATTATTTATGTAATTATGTACATGGGCATATGTATATTCCGTATTATTATTTTTATTTATTTATATATACATATATATATATATATATATATATACAATTTTATTCTAAGTGTATTTTGCTATATATATATTTTATCAAAATACAGTTAGAATAAAATTACATATATATATATATATATATATATATATACACACACATATATATATATATATATGTATATATATATATAATTTGTTTTTAAAATGTTTTATTTATTATTACTTTTCTAAATTTATTTTTAATTTATTTATTTTTTATAATATATATATATATATATATATATACACACAATATATATAGTTTTTATATACGTGTGTAATTTTACTATGTATACTATTAATAAAAAAAATACACTTAGTATGACGTTATATATAAGATATATATATATATACATATTATATATATATATATATATATTTTATTTATTTTTTGCCTGATCGCTTCCGATGCTCTGCCTCACTGCCAGGTGCTACTTGGGGCAACCCGGAAGTGATCACTCCAGGGGAGCAATCACCTTACCAAGGAAGCTCCTGAAAAGCCATGGATCTGATTTAAGCACTCTTTCATTCTTAGCTCAGAGTCCCCAATAACATCTTGAGGGAAACAACACTTTAAGTTGTATAACTTTACTCAACTAAAATGTAATGATTTTATGAAATGTACAACATTTACATTATAGACATCTTCCAAACAGGGCAAAAAGGGGAATTGGGGCTACACCCGAACATACATTTCTAAGTAGTGGTGCTGCCGTTAAGACCAAACTATATACAAAATACAGACTATGGAACACCGTACACACACAAAAAAATAATAATACAGTTTTACATTTTATTTTATTTTTTTAATATTCTTTCTTTATTTAACACTAAAAACAACAAAAAATAACTCATTATACATTATACAATCTTTAACATGCATTTAACAGCAATATTACCTAAAAGATTGCATTTAAGCTCTAATATCACCATTTTGAGTTATTCATCAATACAAATTTTTACACACACAAAACAAAAAAAAACAACAACAAAAAAAAACACATTTAATACACTCTCCCCCCCCCTCTGCCTCTCTATCTACCTATACCCTTCCTATTCGCATAAACCTTCCAGGGTTCCCAGACCTTACCAAACATATAATAAGAATGTCTTACTCTAGATGATAATTCATCCATTATATAATTTTCTTGAATCTTTAATTCCACCTCTCTCATTGATGGTAAATCCAGATTTATCCAGCTAGCGGCTATACATCTACGTGCGGCCAATAAAATTAAAAATATTAATTTCTGCGAATGGCAGGGTATACCTGCTATTGATTTCGATAGCAAAAATATCCAAGGATTGAGTTCTATATTTCCCTGTATTACCACTTGAATTAGCTCCCTTATTTCCTCCCAATAGCTTTTAATCTTTGGGCAATCCCACCACATGTGTAAATATGTCCCTTGTAAACCACATCCCCTCCAACAAAGATCCGTCAGATTTTTACCTATTTTGTACAAAAAAACAGGGGTCACATGCCACCTAAATAATATCTTAAACATTTGTTCCTGCGAGATTACACAAATCGATATTTTGGATGCTGTTTCCCAGATATCTATCCAATCCTTAGTTTCCAAAGAAGAACCTAAATCTGCCTCCCAGTAGGATATATACTTTAATGGAGCCCAAACCGTAGGTTCCTCACTTAGTTGATTATACAAATCAGAGATAAGACCTCCCTTTAACCTACCTATTTTGCACATTTTTTCAAAATTAGTGAAGGGGAATTTAACTGCCGTTTTTACCTCCATTGAATACGCAAAATCTCTAATCTGCAAATAACGAAAAAAATCTCCTGTCCTCAGTTCTACTCTGGTCAACAAACTAGAAAATAAAACTACCTCTCCTTCTGACCAAAGATCTACATATCTATAGATTCCTCCTGCCTTTAAGCCTTGAAAATTGTGTTCTTCCATACCAGGAATAAATTGTCTATTCCGAAAAACAGGGGTCATGGGTGAAGGGAAATTAGTTAGACCATATTTTAACTTAAGTTTATCCCAAATGTGGAGGGAGTTTGCCGTAGAAGGGCATATTTGTTTCAACCCTGGTCTTGAAACCTTATTCAACCACATATACAACCCTGGCGAGTCTGGTGTCATTAAATCTTCCTCCATATCCGCCCATCTGTATTTCCCTTGATTTGCATGCCAACCAACAATTTGAGCCAATTGGGCTGCGTAATAATAAATAATTAAATTGGGGAGACCTAGTCCCCCTTTAACTCTCGGTCTATACAAGAGAGTTCTAGCTATCCTATGTCGCTTGCCCTGCCAAATAAATGTGTCTATAGCTTTCTGAATACCCAATAAGTCCTCTTTACAGACCTTTATAGGCAATGCTTGAAATAGAAATAAAAGCCTCGGTAAAATATTCATTTTTATAGAATGAATTCTGCCAATCCATGAAATTGGCTTATCATGCCAATTCTCTAGGTCCTTTTTCAAAGTCTTAATCAAAGGTACATAGTTGTCATTAAATAATGTATTATAATCGTATCCAATTTTAACACCCAAATAGCTTAGAGATTTATCTATACTCATATCAAATTTAGTTTTTAGCTGGTCTTGTTCTATCTCAGATAAATGAAAAGGCACTCCACACGATTTATTATAATTTACCTTATAGCCTGAAATGGCTCCAAATTGTTCTATCAACTTAAACAATTCAGGGATAGATTCAGAAGGGTTTGCTATAGAGATTAAAATATCATCAGCATAAGCCGCTGTTTTATAAATCTCCCTCCCTATTTGAATACCCTGTATATTGCCACTTCCCCTGATATGGATCAGAAGGGGTTCCAATATAAGTGCAAACAAAATAGGAGAGAGAGGGCATCCTTGACGTGTGCCATTGTATATTCCAAACGGAGTATTAACTGAGCCAGGGAGCTGTATTGTTGCTTGGGGATTTGAATATAATGCACGGATTATAGTAATGCAATTGACTGGAAAGCCCCAATATTGAAGCAAATAAAATAGATAAGGCCAGGCGACCCTATCAAATGCCTTTTCTGCATCTAATGATAAAAGTATTGATGGTGTCTTCCCTACTGCCATAACCCAAGCAACATTAACTGCTCTACGTGTATTCTCATACAGCTGTCTACCTGGAACGAAACCTACCTGATCTGGATGAATCAGAAAAGGAAGTAGGGGAGAGAATCTCAGGGCAAGGACTTTAGCTATTATTTTTATATCAACATTTATTAATGATATAGGCCTATAATTTCCCACTGAAGAAGGGTCCTTATCTTTTTTTGGTAAAAGAACAATTTTAGCCATTGTAAGGTCGGCTGGAAGAACTCCGCTTTGACAAATTTCATCTATGACCTCTTGTAAATATGGCATAAGAGTGTGTTGAAATATTTTATAATAACTACTACTAAAGCCATCTGGCCCTGGTGCTTTACCCCCCTTAATAGAAAAGCATGCCGCTTTAATTTCCTCTAAAGATATTTTGGTCCCTAATCCTTCTAAGGCATTTTTAGGGATTTGGGGTAAATTTATCTTATTCAAAAATTCTCTCAGTCTTATCTCCTGATCTGTACCTTCTATATTCTCGTTTTTAAATTGACTATATAATCTAGAAAAATATTCCCGAAATACTCCATAAACATCCTCTGGTGATGATACTAATGACCCTGAAGCGTTTCTAATGGATGAGATAGGATTAAAATGTGTTCGTGGTTTTAAGCATCTGGCCAAAGGGGCGTCTATTTTATTAGCTTTCTCATAAAAATATCTACGTGATTTTTTTAACTGCCATACTGCTTCATCTAACAAAAGCTTTTTAATCTTTAATCTACATGCTTTTAAATCATATAGCGTTTGTTCAGTGGGAACTGTTTTATGTTTTTGTTCCAGCTTACGTAAACCTTTCTGTAACTCAAATAATGATTGTGATTTAATCTTTTTCTTATATGAGGCTATTTTGATCAATTCTCCCCTAATTACAGTTTTATGTGCTGCCCATAAAGTGGTTTTGCTAATTTCAGTCGTATTATTTTCTGAAAAATAATTTAACAATGCCTTTGTAATATTTGATCTCACTATGGGATCTTCCAAGAGAGAAGTATTTAATCGCCAAGAAAAATTGGGTTTAACTGATAATCCTTTTATATGTACAATGATATCTGCATGATCTGACCACGTAATATTGTTAATTTGTGAGCTATATAAATAGGGAGAAAGTGTTAAATTGGTCAAAAACATATCTATTCTAGAATACGTATCATGTGGATGCGAATAAAAGGTATAATCAAGTGTGTCAGGATGTTGAGCCCTCCATATATCAATAAGTTTATGAGTTATCATAAACTGAAAAAACTGTTTATCTTGTCCTCCCCTTCCCTGGGATCGCAATGTTCCCGGCTTATGACTTCTATCTATTGCTGGACAAGAAACCGCGTTACAGTCCCCACCTATCAAGACACAATCAAACGCTATGGAATCAATAATTTGGCCTATCGTATCCCAAAATCTATTATCTGGGATATTTGGGGCATATATATTCATTAAATGAAGCTTACGGGTGCCCATTATTCCAGACACTAAGATATATCTTCCTTCTTTATCCTGAATGGAATTTAAGACCTTAAACTGACATCTTTTATGGAACAAAATAGCTACTCCATTATGTTTTTGAATAGCATTCGAACAATACGCTCTATCATACCATTTATCTGTCAAGGATAATATATGAGATCTGTTAAGATGAGTTTCTTGCAAAAAAACTATGTCCGCCTGCTTTCTCTTTAATTCCTTAAACATTATCTTCCTTTTAGCAGGTGAATTAAGGCCTTTTACATTTAAGGAAATTATCTTCTCATCCATCATAATTCAACACCAATACAAGCAGATGTTTTGACCCAATAAAATAAACGAACCATATTAGCATATTGTATACCAAAACATGAAAATGAGGGGAGGAAGAAAAAAAACAAAACAAAAAAAAAAAACAAACACAACCATATATACATATATACACAATAAACACCTCCTGGACTTACCCAATGCCAGGAGTTAATTAGGGGGCACAGTTTTCCAGGCCTACTTCGGCCTTGGGATAAACTGCAACTACTCCCATCAACCTGAAACCTAGATTTTTAAACTAATACTAGCAACCTGATTTTTCTTAACATAACATGGGTCCTCTTACACTTCCCTAAACGCCTCCTTAACACATATGAGCTGTCCTCGGCCCCTATACAAAACCATTCAAAAACCAAAAAACTCCATATTATCCTATAATACAACATTTTTACTGCTGAATTACTATTGAGATTTTATTTTTTATTTTTATCAAACGCATCATTTATAAAATACATACACCTATATAATATGCTTATTTCTTCTCATATATGCCTTACTATATTATTCCATGTATACCAATATGCAATAACTTAATCCCTTCACTTCCTTATTCTCCCCTTCACAATCACCATCAGTATATCACATTATATCCCACTTCCCCCCAACAAAAAAAATAAAAAAATAATAGATTAACCTAAATAAATGAAAATCCTTTTAAGTTTGATTCTCTCTCGCATCAAACCATTCTCTGGGTAAAGTTGGTAATGGGGTCTTTTGTTGTTGTTTTACATTTTATGAGGCTACTTAAAATCACCTATCTTAGCAAACGAATATGGGGATTCAGTCACACCATATGGCCATATCCTGTTAAGCCCTAACTTTTCCCATGCTAGTGCTAGAGGGAGTTCAAAAACAAATTCTTGCACCAGGGTCCTCTCTGCCACTGGACAGACGGACGGACACACACACGCATATTTGTAGCCACCATCCTGTTTTCATACCTACAGGAGAGTGGCTTTTCTGAAGTCCAGTGGGTATTGGCTAGGGCTTTAAGCAGATGACTGCAGCATTTGGAGGGGGCAGTTTGTGCAGCTATCTGGGGTAACGCCAAACCGACAGGGGCCCTTATTAGACATGCCCATCAGATGATCCTATGTGCCAGGGCTAGTCAATAGACACCCCCCATGTCCTCCCCCCCCAAAGCCTGTGAGCCCTGGGGTGGTTGCACAACTGATAGTTCTACCCCAGTGGCAAAAACATGGCCCATGTGCCGGCGGAGAGACCTCTGTGTGTCTGTTTTGACATGCATGCGCCATAGGTTCATCATCACTGGCTTAGGAAGTTCCAAACAAAAAATAAACAGAGTGTATGATGGAGTGTACCACGAAATATAAATGACATGTTATCTTTAATTTATATTCTAATATTGTAATACTACTCCATTTGTTTTTTGCAGTTTAAAAAACTCTCATCAATTGATGTAATAAACTACAAATAGACCGAAGTAACAGATTTACCTTCTGCTATTGGTGTTCCATGATTGTGGCTGATACGTGCTGCAAAAACATTTATCTCTTTTCTCAACTCGTTTAGACTTTCTTCTATGGATTGCAGATCTCCTGTGCATATATAATATTTAGATATAAGTAATATCAAAGCAAAAGCAATTTAGTCCAATATAGGCCCTGATTTTATATTTATGGAGAAGCTTTTCAAACGAGTTAATATTTTTGGATTAACTTTTAAAATGGAAAATCTTTTATATTGAAAAATAATATTTCATTTTGATATATGCAGATGGAGTGATTTTAGTGCCTTGATCATGGCCCAGCAGTCCCATTGCTCAATTCTCTTCTATTTAGGAGTTAAAGGGACACTATAGGCACCCAGACCACTTCAACTCATTGGCCCCTTAACTCTGCAATTGTAATTATTGCAGTTTCTGATAAACACCACCACTTCCATTATTTGCAGTCTTACAATTTTTAATCTCCTGTTCTGTTAATAGCCTGCTAGAGCTTGCTGCCTGTCATTAAAAGTCAATCAACAGAACAGTAGATAAAAAAATATATAGTCACATCTAGGGAAGGTGTGACAAGGGTTGCATAAACAGAAACAAAAGTGATTTAACTCCTAAATGGGAGAAAACTGAGCAGTGAGACTGCAGGGGAAAACTGCTTCATTAATGTAAAGTTGTTTTGGTGACTATAGTGTCTCTATAACATATACACTACAAAAGAGGATTGGAAAATGCACATTTTATTCTATAAAGTCAATTTGTTGCCACTGAATAAAATTAGACCTCCCAGCCATAATAAAATATATTAACTATGTAAATTTGTAGTTTAAAAATAAAGTATACACTACCATTGACGTTCCATAGAGCCATTTTCTTTTAAAGGTCAGATGAGCAAAATTGTAAATTTAGACCAGGATCTAAGAGAGACAGACAACAAAGTTCACTGTACAGAACACGTAAATCAAGGGAGGCTGTCAGATGCATACTCTTCTCCATGAACAACAGAAAAGACTGTGTTTAGTAAAGAAAAGAAAGAAGGGAAAAAAAGATAGTGATGATAGAAAGGCAACAGATCACTTCACAGATCACGTCAAGCACCATAACCACTTATACTGCGCCATTGTAAGGAGTCAAACTATTTAAGGCTGCTTCCCGCCTACACTAAAGCCTACAGAATGTATTAAAAAAAATCAAACAAACACCTATAAGGGGCAGTGCAAAATGCCGCATGCAGAGAATGAAAGAGAAATTATCCTTTCAAATATGTGTAGACAAAAACCAAGGATTCCTCGAGGTCGTCAAATTGAATATATATATACAGGATATCTACAAAAATGAATAAAAAGACCATATAGTGTAGCAAAGTAATTGGAATAGTAAGTGATAGATATTCAAGGTTCAACTCACAAAAGTGCATGAGTATGTAGGCACATCAAGCATAGGCATCCTCTTCAATAAAATATTCTTGGTGCTCAGAAGTACATGTTAAAATAAGTCACAAAAACCGAAGTGCAGTACTGTTAAAATTAAAATCACTGCTTTATTATATTGCACTTACAGGAAGTGGAAGGTTTAAAAGCTTGCTGGTAAAGACGAAACGCGTAGGGCTGAACATTACTGTATGCTGTACTGTTTATTGTTTTAAATACATTTGTATCCTGTTACACCTATCCTGAGGAGGTTGAGGAATCCCTGGTATCCTGTTACCTACTCTCAGGATTTTTGTTGTTGGACTTTTAAGCCTTCCAATTCCTGTGAGTTGAACCTTGAATCACTTAATAGTGCAATTACATTATTGCACTATATGGAAATTTTTATTTATTTTTGTAGATATCCTGTATACTAAAGCCTACAGGACAGTCTGGAGCACTCTTCACTAAGTTAATTCCAGCAGTGCCGGGCTTAGCTCATTGGCTGAAAACAGCTGACACTCTAAGCCAATGCGTTAGCCGTACACTACAGGGATTGACACAGACGAACTAACGGAAGGAGCTTCTGGCTCTCACTGAGCTGTAGAGGAGGTGGGGTACAGTGCCGAGGGTACTCTAGGTAACAAGTCAAATAATTCTAAAACACTCCTTGCAATATGTTTTATTTTATCTTTTTTTGCAATAAAGATAAAACAAAAGTGAAAAATAAACACTCTGTAAATTTACAATCAAAATGTTTAAGTTTGTCCGCAAAACAATATATACAGAATATTGCTGTGTTATGATATGTTTAAATGCTAGCTATGCATCCTTTGCCTCAAATATATGCTGTGCGGATAAGTTTTTCAATCAAAAAGTGCTCTGTAGTGAAGGGGTTAATAACCGCTGTTAACAGTGTTTGTCACATAGAAAGCTACTACATCATTTAATTACATTGTATGTTTTCATAGAACCTCATGCACAGAATAACACAACATGTTTGGATGTCACAACATACTTATAGCACCCAACATTAAGAACTTTCCCATAGCACCTCTATTTGCCTCATTTGAGCGGCGGTATCTAACAAGCATCAAGGAATTTTCAGTAACGGAATCACATACTACTGCCCCGCTCTATTATCATTCAAGTACAAATTTTTTTTTTTACATATACTTCAAGAATGGGATCTTCAATCACCAAACAGTATTATAGTGAGCATCTACAACCAATTTGCAAAATTAACCCCAGAGAAATCCTGTTAAAAATCAAAAACAAAAAAACACACAGACAAATTCACACAACCTTTTCTGTTTATATAAAGTGAAAATAAAACCATACGTACACGTCTCTTGTGTTTATTCTAGTTCTGTTTTCTTAATTAATCCCGGAGATGTTCCGTTTAATGTTCTCTTTCTCGAGTGTTTCAAAAACGAAATCTAGTTCTTACCTGAAGGCTATGAAGGTAGTTCTTAGGTATATCTGCTTTACCTGATAACAGGAAGTTTCTTAAAAAAGCTGATTGGTCAGCAGCAAAAATGTTCACTACAATGACTATTGTAAACATGTGGGTTTTTTTTTTTTTTTAAAGTCACAGAACGCTTATATTATCTTAGGAGTTTATTCATTAACAGTCCACTGTGGAATCTGTACTTGGAAAAAAAATGCAAGGATGTGGCACAGATTTTAAATGTGGTTTAGAGTCATTAGTGAAGTATTTATGCGAGATTTAAAGGGATACTATAGTCACCTGAACAACTACAGCTTATTGTATTTGTTCAGGTGAGATCTATAGCTCCCTGCAGGCAATCTAATGTAAACACTGTATTTTTAGAGAAAATACAGTGTTTACATTGATTGATAAGAATACCTCCAGTGGCCGTCACTCAGTCGGCCACCAAAGGGACTTCCTATCATGTAGGGCCCTAAAAAGGCCTTGTACACGTCAGACGATTTTACTTACCTGGTTCCAGCGCCGGGAGCCTCGTGAAGCAGCGCCCCCTATTTTGTCAAAATCCATGGAGGAGTATTATCATGAGTTTTGCAGAAACAATTGTGTGAATTATGATACCATTGCTACTGTACATTTTGAGACATGCTATATAGGTCACACTTGCTAGGACATATTGGGCCAATGGCATACTTGCTGAGCATTGTGGATTCTGTAGTAGCTAAGAACAAGCGGGCATAGTGTAGGGTGCAGTGAGAATGAGCACATGGCTATAATGTGTAAGCCACAGCATATTTACTGGGCACAACTGTGTAATAAATGTGCTTAGGGCTGGATTTACATGTCAGTGCCTGTAGCACATATTCAAGGTGCCCCATGTGCCTCCTCACCCCAAAAACAGCAATAAAGTGAGTTTAACTAATTTATTTACTGGACGTCTCAGGCATAAAATGTCTAAAAACATATTTTCATTTATGACAACTGTATATGTACGCCTATATCCGCTTGTAATGTATTGTATTTGAATCTGTGATTATAGTGAGTGTATGCAGCTGTGTAAATGCATGCAAGGTTAAATGTAATGTTAGGAGGTTTGCGGTTTGAGAAGGGTTAATGTCAGTGTTAAAAGAACACTGTAAGGACCCAGAGCACTTCGTCTCCTGCTCTGTTGTGTTTAATGCCCCACCTCCTATAGACTGTTAGCTCATTTGAGCAGGGTTCTCTTCAACCTATTGTTCCTGTAGGTGTTTGTAATTGTCTCATTTATTGTAAAGCGCTACGTAATATACTGGCGCTATATAATTACCAGTAATTATAATAATAATGATAATTGAAGTGGTCTGGGTGCAAACTCCCATCACCCTCAACCCTACAGTGGTAATTATTGCAGTTTTTATAAACTGCAGTAATTACCTTGCAGGGTTAACTCCTCCTCTTGTGGCTGTTTACCAGACAGCCACTACAGGAACTTCCGGAATTAAAACAGACTTTAGGTCCGTTATCTGACGCTGGACATCTTCACGCTCTGCATGAGGACCTCCGCAATCAGATTTTCACCATAGCAAAGCATTGAATAATGCTTTACTATGGGGAGCTCCTAATGCAAGCGTGGGCGGAGCTAAGCCAGCCCTGAGGGACATCTGCGCTGGACCCAGGTTAGTGACTGAAGGAGGGGGCCTTGGCAGAGGGGAAATCTATAGTGCCAGGAAAACGAGTTTGTTTTCCTGTCACCATAGTTTCCCTTTAAATTGTATAGGATAATTTAGTATTAAGAGGATTAAAAGTTTGAGAGGACCTGTGACTTGGACATTATCCCAACGCTTTCCTATCCACCCTTCATCCTGTTTTCCCCTATATCCGTTATCCTTTAATATCGACCTGGGTTCAACGTAAGCCGCTGGGACCCTCTTGACAATTCCTCAGACAGGATTCTCATAGAACGGCTAACTACGGAAAGCCATCACGAGAGCATTCTGAGACATAGGACATGCTTGGTAATTGCTATATTCCCAAAAAATTATAAGAACCAGGACCTGCGAGTCCACTGTTCATTGGGGCCTGCGAGCCCACAGGTATTTTTACCATGTATGACTACTATTATGCTTGGCATACCTTACTTCGGACCTGAGTGTCCCATGTTGACTTGAATCCAAGATTGCTTGCAATACACAAATTGAAAACCAATAAAAATCATATTTGCAAAAAATAAATTTGAGAGGGGTTATATTTGTGATATAAGGGGAGTTTAGAATTATTGCGTTAAGGATTAGAGTTAAATTTAGTATTGGGATACTTGGTGTTTAGTTTTTAAGAGGAATTAAAAGCACACTCAATGGGCACCAATATACATTATTTGTGGCTGCAGACAGTCAGAAAATAGGCCAGCTTATGGTGCAACATTCTGCAAAATATTAATTTATTTAACCCCTTAAGGACACAGCTTCAGAAGCTTGTCTTACGCTGAATGACACAAGCAATTTTTGCATTTTCTTGCTGTTTGCGTTCAACTGCAATTTGCATCTCTCTTGTTTATTGCACCGACACATATTATATACTGTTTTTTAAAGGACAGAAAGGGCTTTAATTTGATGTAACATATATATATATATATATATATATATATATATATATATATAAATGCTTATTTATTATTTAAAAAAATACAGAAAAATGCAAAACAAATGAAAAAATTTAGTTTTTTGTACAGTTTTTGCAATAATAATGTGTGCCTAATTAGTGCAGGTTAAAGAAAGTAATTAAAAATAAATTCATTTAGTTGTTCTGATTTACAGAATATATAATGTGTCTGGGATTTTAAGTTTTTTTTGGTAGTTACAGGTCACAAAGCACAAGGAGTAAAATAAACTTTTAATGTGGAGCGATTTTAGAATTTGGTATGTTTGTCTTGTAAGCTTAATAGCCATAAAAGAAAACAAAATTGCCACACAAAAGTATATATTTATATAAAGTAGACATCACGGGCTATTTACCTAAGGTTGTTTTGACACTTTCTACGTAGCCATTTCACTGCCAATCTCTGCTAAATATTGGAGTAAAATGTTGTTTTTTGGGGTTTTTGGCACACAAACTTATAACAAAGAACTCATGTGTATTTTGTAAAGTTGGTGTGTGCTATTCCTGTACAAAGTTTTATTTTGTGTTCAGTTACTTCTGCTGAGTACAACGATACCCCCATTGTATGTCTTTGGCACTGTTTCTTGAAACTACAGTGCCATATAGGAGACCTGTCCGTTTCAACATTTACAGTAGAATTTTGAGAGGCGGATTTAATGGGCCTGTGCTTCAATTTGGGGTATTATAGCAGTTTGACTGTTTAAAAAAAAACCACAATGGCCTACCATTTGTAAAAGTAGACACTCCAGGGTATCTCATATGGTGCATATTGTGCCTTAACATGCCCCCATTTTGTCACCAATATATGCCAAAGTATGTGGTAAAAAATAATTTTGGGCATTTTTTACATATGGATTACATTTTTGCTGGGCATTTTGTACATTTCAAATTTTTTTACCTTTTTAAACTTATTTTAAAACTTTTTTAATGTTAACCCCTAGTTAGCCTAACACCAAAGTCCCCAACTTCCACCCATCCCAGCTAGCTAAATATATAATTTTTAAATATTTAAATTAGTTAATAAAATAAATTTAACCCCTGAGGGTTAAAAATAAATAAAAGTTAATCCTCAGGGGTTAAAGGAAATTAGATTACAGTATAATACTGTGATTTGTATTTTGATCACTGTAGGCAGTGATCAACTGGCAGGGAAGGGGTTAATTTTTATTTAGACTGGGTAAAGGGGGTGGTATTTTTTTTTTTTACTTAAATGTTACTAAAACATTTTTTTAAACTTTTTTTTACCTTTTTAAAGCTTATTTTAAAACTTTTTTTAACATTAACCCCTAGTTAGCCTAACACCAAATTCCCCAACTTCCACCCATCCCAGATAGCTAAATATATAATTTTTAAATATTTAAATTAATTAATAAAATAAATTTAACCCCTGAGGGTTAAAAAAAAATAATTAACCCTCAGGGGTTAAAAAAAATAAAATCAGATGACATTAAAATGTATACCCTGCCAATTGATCACTGTAGTCAGTGATCAATTGGCAGGGAAGGGGTTAATTTTATTAAAGCAGAGGAAAGGGGGGTGGGATTTAACTTTATTTTTTTTATTTTTTTTTACACAGAGAGAAGATCAGCAGCACTGATCCGTCTCCCTGCACTTCACACAGAACCCGGAAGTGCAGGGAGGTGGAAGGTGAGTATACTGAGCACATGTGCTCGCTCTGACAGCCTGTCAGAGCGAGCACCTGTGCTGGGGCAGCGCGATACGGTGCTCCCGGTCTGCCTCGAATACAGAGGCAGACCGGAGCACAGTTAACCCCGCGATCGCCGCGATCCGGGGTTAACTTTAGTAAATGACGGACATTTTCCGTCAACGGTCCTTAACTGAAGGACAAGGTTGACAGAAAATTTCCATCTGTGGTCGGGAAGGGGTTAATGCAAAAACTCTAAAGATTTGAGCATGCAAAAAAAAAAAAGAAATGTATTAAATTAGTATTGGTCTCCGGATTATCCTTTTAAACCCAAGAATAAGGTAATATTTTTTATTTTTTTTAGGTTTAGTCATTGAGTTCTTAAATCTGGGGGCTAAAGAAAGCGTTTGTTTAAAGTTTGATGAGAGCCCTTCAAGGGTTGATCAGTTCATTTATATAGCAATATAGTTACATAGTTACATACTTACATAGTTACATAGTTGGAAAGAGACTTGCATCCATCAAGTTCAGCCTTCCTCACATATTTTTTTGCTGTTGATCCAAAAGAGGGCAAAAAGCCCAGTTTGTAACGCTTCCAATTTTGCAAAAAACTAGGCAAAAATTCCTTCTTGACCCCAAAATAGCAGTCGGATATCTCCTTGGATCAAGTAGCTATTACCCCACTAATTAGAAATTATGTCCCTGTATCTTATGT